ACTAGACTACTACCACCTGGGTACAAATGAAAGCTCACTTTTGTTCTTTCCACGTTATTTTGTTACATAAATATAAAAATTAGAACTTCCAATGTTCATTATAATCATTTGTTAAGTAAAACTCATTTAACGGACAATTATGATGAACATTTTGAACGCCATGACGTCTTAATTTTTTGAGTCTTTATTTTGTTATTATCTTTTGATTAAATATTTACGGGTTTATGAGAACCACAGGTGAGGGCTAGTGGGTTTCTTGAGCTTTGTTGTAGGACAGCCATTTAGGGTACATACCCACTAACTACAAAGCCTACCTATTTTAATTTTAGAAGTATTCGTACTTGGGATTAGGCAGTTTTTTTTTTTTTTTTTCTTTTTGGTAAATTTTAGGTAGTTTAAGGGCCTGTTTGGTACAACGGTTAAAATTCAGCAGATAACGGGTAGCGGATAGTAGGTAGCGGATAGCGGGTAGCGGGTAGCGGATAGCAGATAGCGGGTAACGGATAGTGGATAGTGGATAGCAGATAACGGTAGCGGGTGACAGGTGACGGGTGGCGGATAGCGGATGACAGATAGCAAAAAGTAGGTAGCAGATGGTAAATAGCGGATTCAATAAATATAACTGTTTGGTTATACAATAATTAACGATTGTTGCTTAACATTAAATGACTAATAAGGACATGTTTAAAAACAAATAAGTTTATTTTTTAAAATATTTTTATTTTTTATTATTAAAATTATTAATTTTATAAAAAAATAATAAAATAAATAAATAAAATTAATTATAATAATGTAATTACACCTTCATCTTTATTTTTAAAAAAGAAAAAATTATATTATTTTTAGATAAAAATTAATTATTTTGTCTAATTAACAAATTTTGTTTTTTAAGATAATATATTTTTTAATTATAAATCAATATACAAAAAAATATTATAATCACTTAATGTTATTAAAGGTAAAAAAACAAAACTGAAATTTATTAGATAATTATTAATTAAAAAATATGACCAAAAATTAAAAGATTAAAAAGGATAAATTTATCAATAAAATTAAAAAATTTTAATCCGCTAGCAGTTTGGTACAAAAAGTTACATAAACTAACTTTTTCAATCCGCTACCGATTTAGATCCTAACTGCTATCCGCTAGTCTCAAACCACTAAATAAAAATTTTACCAAACACTTTAGTTATAGCAATTTCGAAATATATAAATTTACCAAACATTTATATTTAACAATTTAAGTAAAACCACCTACCATTATACTCAACAAGGCCTAAAACTATTTGAAACAGTCTGGTCTTCATTGACCCCACTTTCAAGGCACCGGGGGCACAGC